AGCCACCCGGGGCTGGGGGCTCCCAAGTGGGGGGTTCCAGTGGGGAGCACGGAGGAATTCGGGATTTTTCGGGTGGTTCTGCCAGGTAGGGGGCATGAGGTGGTTTCAGTGGTTGGAGTTGGCTGCCTGCGCTTGGGCGGGGTCTGCAGAGCAGGCAGGAGGATTGGGAGCGAGGAGGACACTCAGGATTGGGCAGGACATTTGGGAATGGGACACTCAGGATGAGGCAGGACACTGGGCCCCTGGGGAGCTACCTGGAAGAGGCTTCACCCAGCCTGGGGGAAGCCCAGGAGATAAGGAGGACCCATCACCTTATCTCCCTCATCTTCCCTGCTCGAGGCATCATAGTTATCATTGCATCATCGTTAGCGCTGGTAATTAAAGCCTGTCTCAGTGGGGAGAAACCCCCAGAGGGGTTGTCCCCACACCCTTGCTGTGGTCAGCACTCAGCTGTCCATCAACAGGCTGGAAGAAGTGACGTAATGAACAGTGAAAGATGAGGGGAGGGAAGGAAAAAGCAGATGATGAATTAATGCTGGTGTTGGGGTGTCTCTGCCCTGCAGCTCAAGGCCGTGCACGAACAGCTCGCGGCCCTGTCCCAGCCGCAGCAGAACAAACCAAAGAAAAAGGAGAAGGACAAGAAGGAGAAGAAGAAGGAGAAGCACAAAAAGAAGGAGGAGCTGGAAGATGCCAAGAAGAGCAAAGCCAAGGAGCCGCTGCCCAAGAAGGCCAAGAAGAGCAACAGCACCAGCAGCGCCTCCAGGTCAGCCCCGGCCCTCCTCCGCCTCATTTCCCTTTCGCTAATTAACTTAATTACCCACCGGGTAGCGGTGTTGCCAGGGCTGGCAGGACCCCCACATCCCGAGGCCTTCTGGGGGTCACCTCCCAGCCCCAGCGCTGGGGGGTATGGGACAGTGTTTGAAAGGTGGTGGGCAGGAAATGGCAGAGGGGAACATGAACTGGTTTGGGTTGTTCCCACCCAAAAGACGTGAGTCAGAAGAACTGTGACCTTGGGGGGGTCTGGGCAGGTCGAGCTCCTCTTTGGGGCTCTCTCAGCCCTCTGAGCTCCTCTTTGGGGCTCTCTCAGCCTGCTGAGCTCCTCTTTGGGGCTCTCTCAGCCTGCTGAGCTCCTCTTTGGGGCTCTCTGAGCTCCTCTTTGGGGGTCTCTCAGCCCTCTGAGCTCCAGGCTCGAGCTCCATGCCGCAGCCGCCGGGTGGCAGAGGGCCAGGTGGAGCCCCTGGGCCCCTCGGGGTGTGGGGGTGCCGCCCGGCTCGTGCTGACGCCGCTCTCCTGTGCCCAGCAGCAAGAAGGAGCCGGTGGCGGTGAAGAGCAGCAAGGCGCCGGCGGCCTACGAGTCAGAGGAGGAGGAGAAGTGCAAGCCCATGTCCTACGAGGAGAAGCGGCAGCTGAGCCTGGACATCAACAAGCTGCCGGGCGAGAAGCTGGGCAGGGTGGTGCACATCATCCAGTCCAGGGAGCCCTCCCTGAAGAACTCCAACCCCGACGAGATCGAGATCGACTTCGAGACCCTCAAGCCCTCCACGCTGCGGGAGCTGGAGCGCTACGTCACCTCCTGCCTGCGCAAGAAGAGGAAACCCCCAGGTGGGCAGGGCTGGGACCCCGCGGGGTGCTTGGTGCCGAGTCGATTCCAGATCGGTTTGAGGGTTTGGTTCCATTTGGGATCGATTCCAGATCGATTTTGAGCGTTTGATTCGATTTGGAATCGATTTGAGATCGGTTTTGAGCGTTTGATTCGGTTTGGAATCGATTCGAGATAGATTTGTGGTGTTTAATTCTATTAGAGATCTATTTGAGATTGATTTTTAGTGTCTGATTCAATTTGGGCTTGATTTGAAATCAGTTTTTCGTGTTTGATTTGGAATCAATTTGAGATCGATTTTTAAATCCATTTTTAGTGTTTGATTCGATTTTTAGGTCAATTTTTAATGTTCTGTTTTGATTCAATTTTGATACAATTTTAAAGTCAATTTTTAGTATTCAATTTTGGTTCTGATTTAAAATCCATTTTTAATATCCTTTTGATTCTAGTTTGATTCAATTTTAAAGTCATTTTTTTTGTATTCGATTTTGATTTGATTTTGATTCAGTTTAAAAACAGATTTTTTGGATTTGATTTTATTTTAAATTGATTAAAAGTCGTAAAATAAATTTTAAATAAAGTATTAAAATTGATTACAACTTGATTTTAAAACAATTTAAAATGGAATCATACTAAATTTCAAGTTCATTTTAAATTCATTTGAATGTCTTATTCTGTTTTAAATTGATATAAAATCAATTTTCAATCTCATTCTATTTTAAATCCATTTTAAAATAGAATTTAATGTTTTTAATATCTTTTAAATCCATTTTAAACTGATTTTAACACTCCATTCTATTTTAAATTTTTGTTAAATCCATTTAAAATCAAATTTAAATCTCTATTTTCTATTGACTGTGTCCATGAACTCCATTTCTATCTATATTTTAGACCCATTTTTATTTTAAATACATCTTAGTGTAATTCTAGACTAAATAGACAAAGTTATTAATGGCCAAAGCCACTTTTTTACACCAGTTCCCCCCCAGCACAGGGGCCGTGGCAGCGCCAGGAGGAGAAATGGGGATGAGATTTTTTTTATTATTATTCCATTTTTCCTTCATTTTTTTAATTTATAAGATTTTTCTTGTCTGCAGTTGAAGATTTTGGGGATTTCATGAAGGGCTCCATTAAAAAAAGGCAATTTCAGTTTTTTCCACTGTCTACAACTCCTTCAGCCAACAAATTCAGGCAGCTAAAAAGCCCCAAGTGGGTTTCCAGCCACGTCTCATGGGGTTGGGCTGGAGGAGCAGGAGGAGGAGATGCCAAGACCACCTGGCTCTGCCAACTCCCTGCCAGGAGCTTGGAGCCAGCTGGGATAGGGGAGATCTCTTGTCCCCAAGCCATGGACCCTCAAGTTGCCCCAGGGGAGGTTGAGGTTGCCCCTGAGGAACCATTTCTGCCCCTGGAGGGTTGCCCAGGGCTGTGCCAGGGCAGTGGTGGAGCCCCCACCCCTGGAGGGGTTCCCAAGCCGTGGAGATGTGGGGTGAGGGACAGGGTTGGGGGTTCCTGGCCGTGCTGGGGGATGGTTGGACTGGAGGAGCTCCAAGGTCTCTCCCACCCAGAACATCTCCATGACCCCAGGACCAGCCCTGCGGGCTCAGAGCTCAGCCCAGCCGCAGACCGTGGGGTGGCTCCTGGCTCCCTGCTGGGAGGAGCCCCGGGCGTGGGGCAGGGCTGGGCCTGGCCCTGGCCACTGACGGGTCACCCCTTGTCCCTGCAGCAGAGAAGGTGGACGTGGTGGCCGGCTCCTCCAAGGTGAAGGGCTTCTCCTCCTCCGAGTCGGAGAGCAGCAGCGAGTCCAGCTCCTCCGACAGCGAAGAGTCAGACACAGGTTAGCCCCCCTTATTTCACACCTCGCTCCTAGACCTGCTTGCTGTATAAATAAATTTGTTTTCATTCCTGGCTCGGTCTTTTAATTATTATTTTTTTTCTTCCTCTTTCTGATGCCAACCCCCCACCCTGCCTGGTTGCCAGGTGGGTTTTTCCTCAACTTCTCCTTCCCGAGCCGAAAAACCAGCTCCTGCTGGATGGCCTGGGTTGGTGCCTTTAACCAAACAGGGAGGTTTTTCCCCCAAAGGAGAGGGCAGGAGCACACGCCAGGTGGAGGAGTCAGGATTTTGCATCAAATCCGTTTTATTTTAGGGTATCTCCCAGGGATAAATATCCAGGAGCTGTTCCCGAGGGGCAGAAATCCCCCAGAATAGCCCCAAAACCAAGGCAGGGTCAGGACTTGAGTCCCAGACCTTTGGCTGCCTTTGCTTTGGGCTGGGGTTAGTGGGATTTGATGGAATTTGAGTGTATTTTGGAGAGAATCTCATTTTGGTGTGTGTTGAATCCAATTCGACAGAATTTTTGGTGTCTGTTGAGTAGAATTATGGTAGATTTTCATAAAATTCTCATTTAACAATATTCTATTTCAGTCATTATTAAATATTCTGCTGGATATAATCTACTAGATTATAAACGTATAACCTGCTAGAATTTTAATGTATTTTTAATCCAGTTTAATAGAGTATACTATAATTCACCAGAATTTTATTTTTTTAATCCAATAGAATTGAAAAGTAAAAATCTACTGGAATTTCAATTCTTTTTAATCTGATTTACTACAATTTTAATGTCTTTTTAATCCGATTTGCTAGAATTTTAAAGTACACTATTCTTTACTAGAATTTGAATGTATTTTTAATCCAGTCTATTGGAATTTTTATGTGTTTTCCATAGAGCTTGCTAGAATTTTAAAGTATACTCTTCTTTCCTGGAATTTTTATGTATGTCTAATCCAGTTTAATAGAATCTTAAGGTATTTTTTAATAGAATTGAATAGAATGTTAAAGTAGACCATAATTCACTAGAATTTTAATGTATTTTTAATCCAATTTAATAGAATTTTAGTGTGTTTCGCATCGAATTTGCCACTTTTTTGGCCAGAGGTGGCAGGGGTCTGATGGAGGGTCAGGGGGATCCAAAAACCAGCTGATTTGGTGCTAAATTCGTCTTGAGTCAATGAACGGCGCTAATTAAGCCCAGAGAAAGCTCCAAAATCTCCTCAGTGCTCGTTGGCAAAGGCAACCTGCAGGGGAGGGGAAAATGCTCTTTTTGGAGCCTTTCTCCCCAAAGGTGGACGAGGGCAGCTGGCTCTAAGATGTTTTAAGACCTTTCTAAACAGTTTCAAAGACATTTCAAGACAGTTTTAAGACGTTCTAAGACCTTTTGAGACTTCCCAAGACCATTACAAAGACCACCCAAAACCTTTTGGGGCATTTTAAGAGGGTTCAAGACCACTTCAAAGACCTTTCAAGATGTTTTAAAGCATTTTAAGACCACTTCAGGTCCATTTAAAAGCCCTTTTACAGTGTATTGAGGCATCTTAAGACCATGTCGAGGACTTTTCACAGCATTTGAAAATCTTTTAAGAGGTTTTTAGACCATTTCAAAGACCTTGTTAAGACAGTTTCAAAGGCAGTTGAAGACCTTTTGAGACCAATTTTCAGTGTCCTGTTAGCTGACAGGGATGTTGCTGTCAGGACCAGGGGTGGGTCAGGGCAGTTTAGTTTGGCTGCTGTAGAATATTCATCTGTTTAGTTTTTTCTAGTCATCTCTTTCTCTTTTTCTGAAAGCTTAAGAGGGGAGCTGGATTTAAAGTGGATGATTTTGTGCCATAGGTATTTTTAAACCCGTGGCAAAAGCTGACGTGGATTTTTTATTTTTTAACCTGGATTTTTGCACTTCCTTGGGGAAAAAAAAAAAGGGGCGATGAAGGCGAGTGCGGACGTGATGAAATTATCAGCTTGAATTAATTGCAATTAACCCGAGCTCCACTTGACTCTCCACCACTGAAGTGTGGTTTTGCTCCTGGCAGCAGCTCCACCAGCTGCCTCTTCCCTGTTCCCAGCCCAGAGCCTGTCAGACAGGAATCCTCTTCCTCATCCCAGCAGTTCAACGTGTGACCTGAGTAATACTGAGGCGTTCAGGAACGTCTGCCCAAAATCTGCTGAAACTCTGCAAATAGGAGGCTTCAAAGGGAGGGGAAATAATAATATTAATAATCATAATAATAATTCAGGGTTTGTAGTGTAGGAGGTGGGACTGAGCCTTCGCCCGGAGCTCTGGGAGCCCAGAGCAGAGGGTTATTCCGGTTTGACTGGTTGTAATTAGTCATTAGTGGATGCAAATGAGGCCAGACTCCATCCTGGCAGCACCCGGGAAGGAGTTTTTTTTGCTGGCAAACAGTCAGGAAGGAGCTTTGGGAGCGTCCCGGGTGCTGCTCCCAGCCTGGCTTTGGCAGGTGCCCAGTCTGGGGTCATTTAACGGCAAAGCGGGCGGGCTCCGCCTGCTCCTCCTTATCTCAGCCCCCAGATATTTTGGGAGATGCTTCTCGGGGCTCCAGAAAGTCCCATCGTGGAGAGAAATGGGGTTTGGGGCTGCTCCTCAGTCGCTTCTGCTCCGTCCTTGGGAGGGAAACCAGGGTTTGATTCGGGGTGATGGGATTTGAGTTGAATTTGGAGGCACCTGGGTTGCAATTGCAGGGACCCACCTTTGCATTTACAAGTTAAATTCAGAGGTAATGGAGTTTAATTCAGAAAGATCCAGGTTTAATTCATAGCTGTTCAGTTTTAATTCAGAAGTATGCAGGTTTAAATCACAGATACTTGGGTTTAATTCAAAAGCAAACAGGTTTAGTTCACAGTTGACCCAAGTTTTAATTCACAGATGCCCAGAATTCACACGTGCCTGGGTTTAAACTCAGAGGCACTCGAGTTTAATTCAAAAATACCTGGGTTTAATTTGCAGGTATCCAAAATTTGCACATACTTGGGTTTAAATCATAGGTACCCAGGTTTAATTTCACAGGTACTTGGGTTTAATCCACAAGTATTGGGGCCAAATCTGCAGCTCCCCAGGTTTCAGTTTGAGGTAGATGGGTTTTGAGTCAGAGGTGGCCAGTTTTTAATTCAAATACCTGGCTTTAGTTCAGAAGTGCTGGGGTTTAGTTTGCAGCTCCCCAGGTTTAAATCACAGGCCCCTGGGTTTAAATCACAAGCACCCAGGTTTAGTTCAGGAGTCCCCGGGCTGAGTCCCCAGGTCCCTGTGGTTTTTTTTCAAGTCCTTTGGTTTGGTTTGGCGTAACTTGCTGCTTTTTGCCCCATTCCCAGACTTGGTTTCTTGGGTGTGTCACCAACCCAACGTGGGTCTTCCCCCAGCTCATGGAGAAAGCCCCAAATCCCTCGAGTTTTACCCCAGAAACGCTCCCTGTCCCAAGGGGCTTTCAGTGTTTCTCAGCCTCTGTTCCCACAGGGGTTTGTTTTTCCCAGGAGACACAGGGGATGATGTAGGATCCTGATTTTGTTGGAATGTGGAACTGTGATGGTTTCAGCCAACTTGTAATTTTAGATCTGGTTTGGTTTGGTTTGGTTTGGTTTTTTTGAGGGATTTTTTCCTCTTTCACCTCGATCTGCTCCAAACACTTGATAGGAATCTATTTTTATATAGGGATGTCACAGCTCTGTGACCACCAGCTTCCTGCCCCCCCAAAAAAAAAACAGATCAAAATCATAGAGCTTTGCTATTTTTATTTCTAAACAATAAAATCAAGAAAGTGGCTTCCAGCAGAACAGGCACTTCTTCACAGGAGGACAGAGTTTTAACCATAGTGAGGGAATTCCCATGGTAGGAAACCATAGGTTGTATTTTTTTCCATTCTGGGTAAATTTGTGTGGGAGTTAGGGAGATTTCAGGCAAAATAAACCCTGGGCACGTGGCCACTGAGGCACCAACGGAGCCTCATCCTCCAGTCGAACCTCTGCTCTGAAGGGGTGGCAGCACAGAACTGACCTTCTTCCCTCCCCGGGGACTTGCAGCCCCACGGGTGAGATTCAGCCGGCCGGGGTTGGAGGTGGGAGGTGGCTCCTTGGTGCTCCCACCACCTTGGGGGGTGCTGGTGGAGATGTGGAACCACGGGTCACCCCGGCACCAGCAGTGAGGAGGCTTCATCCTGCCCTTGGCTTGGCCAAGCTTGAAGTGCCCCCGAGGTCGCCGCCGCCAGCGGGCCGTCGCCGTGGGACCCCCGTGGCTTGGCCACTCCTGGGCTCCATGGGCTTCTTCCTGGATGAAGGATCTCCCAAAGCATCTCTTCACCCGTGGATGTCTTTCAGCCATGGTCCATCAGGTGATCCCAGAAGTTCATTGTGGCCACACTCAACTCATTCCACAAAACGCTGCCAAAGTCCACCCCAAAAAGTCTCCCTGGAGAGCAGCCAGGTCGTGGCACGTCGGGAGGAGGAGAGTCTGAGCTGTCCTACCCGAGGAGCAGTGCCAGAGAGGAGGAGTTTGGAGCAGCCAACACTCATGGTGGACCCGAGATGGGAGCAGGGACGTGCCTGGCTGTGTCACAGGGGGCTTGGGGCAGCCCTCGCTTCACCCCTGGGGATCCTGGCTCCATCTGCAGCTTTTCTCCTCCCCTCCCGCCCCGCAGCTCCACCCTGCGCCTTTCACCCCGTGTGGGTCTTTCCTCACCAGCCCACGAGCACTTTTATCCTGATGGAAGAGGGTGGGGCAGAAGCTGGGGGGCTCCAGGAAGCCACCTCCACCCCCAGTGGAGTTTTATCCACAGGGAACATCTCCTGGAGGAACCCATCTCCACTCCTTGTCCTTCTCTCTTTGGGGCATCTGCAAGACGAACAGTGAAGTCCTGCGAAGCCTTTGTCCTCTTGATGGAAGAAGTCGTTGGGTCTTGGTCTTTCTGGAAGGAGATTTCACACCCAGCATCTGTCAGAGCCGTGGGTGCCCCTCTGGAGCCGTGGATGGCCGTTGGGATCTGTGGACACCCATCCAGA